TCCCATTGAGACAATTGCGTTAACTGAAAATCCAAGTTCGAAGTGTGGGGTGCTGAAAGCCGCCAGCCAAACGCCACGTCAGGTGGCCCTGTGTGCCGGTCAGGGTGGGACTTCTTTGGATGGTTCGGAACGCCCAGAAGACGGACGAGGGCACCAGATCTTCGGTGTATCCGTTGGAATCGAGCCAATGATCTCCTCGTTCGGATTCCCCATAGGACAATAGTTGGGAAGGAAGTGCCCCAGATCCACCTGATATAATGGTTGATCTGGGGCTGAGTCTTCATGTCCTGAGTTACTAACCGGCTTGGAGACCAGTCCAACCATGATTTGAGAGATACCAACCCTTCTTTTTACAGAAGTGCTTAGACGTGACCCAGCTGATATGGTATTTGCACATGACGTTTGCCAAAAAATACACCATACTTGGATCGTCCTATCCTATCAAGCATCTTCAACCGAAGCATGACATGGATCGGGTCGAAAAGACCCGGAGGGAATGTGTAGTCAACGAGGGACCCATCCAGTGCCCAAACCCATCCAGTGTTGTTTGGATCCGTATCATTATGTATCCATCCATTTGCCCAGCTCTCAGGATTTGAGGATATTTGAGGTTGCAGGATTTGAGTTTAGAAGGATGCTTCTAAAATTGGTTCTGACTTCTGAAGAACTGAGGTGCTCGTGGTTGGGCAGGATCTTGGAGAGTGCCATTGCTGGCGGCAAGAGCACAGTTGGCGTTGATCTGTCCGGAGCCCAGTTGGCCAAGCTGATCTGCTGAAAATTCACCTTTTCCTTTTTCTTTGTTTCAAGTGGAGATGGCCTCCAGCCTAAGAGCGATAGCCTCCAACCTGCAAGCAATGGCCTCCATCCCAATTGATCCTTATCTATCCATTTGCCCAGCCTCGACCTGCTCTTCTGTATAGATCGGTTATATAATTACTCGTACCTCAAAAGAAGCGAGGACTTTTTGGTATGACAGCTGGGTGCCGAGTTTCCTTCCAAACCATCTAGGATTTGAGGTTGCAGGTGACTTCCTTTTGCTTTGACTTCCAGTGAGAAGCCTTGAATGTAGCAAAGGGCGGAAGGATCCATTCTTCCCTCAAACGCGCGGTCACCGGTCAGTCATTGAGGGGTTTGGTCCGTGCCCGGAACCTCGCAGTGGAACCGGATCGCCATCAGTCATTGGACGTTCCGTTTTCATGCCTCTTTGGGGGAAGAATGGCCGAACTGACGGTTTGCTTGTGGCTCAAAATAGAGAGGATCACATGTGTTGGTTCGGTGCCTCCCGAGTGACCGAGTGCAGGGGAACTACCACAGCCCGGACTCGGTTTTGATGTCGCGTTCCTTCGGTGCGGTGTGCGGCCGAACCTCGACCGATGACAGACATACAAGTGCACCGGACCCGAGTATCATGTCCTATGCGAGTTCCGTGGATGGGTCCGGATTGACGCATCTCCTGAGAAGCGGATTAGCATCCAGCCTAAATCTTGACACAAGACACCATCTCCTGTTTGATCCACGGTTGACACTCAACACCTATTGGTAGATCCACGGTTTTCTACCCCTTTGGTGTGGTACCGGGTAGAAGACAGGGAATGAGCTACAATCAACTATGAAAGTGAGACACTACGTGAAACCGAACGAGGCAGGAAAAAGGAAGGCATCTAATTTTGGTGACCAATCGCATTCATTCTCGAGTATCGAGATTCTTCTTGCCAAGTTTCCATGTTCGAATCTTTGGATTGAAAGGAGCGTCGTTGGGGGAAATCCCATGTTCCTCAACAAAAAACCGGGTGTAAGTCTTTGGTGTTTTCCACTTCCACGATTCTTTCAAGGAGTAAGTCAAGACTCCAAGACCTCTCTATATGCATCGGCCCAACGACCTCCGGCTCCCTCACCGGCTCCTTCGGTTGGTATTTCTCATCGGGAGACCACCCTCCAGGGGTGGTGGTGGATTTTTCCGGTGGCCGAACCCAGGGTTTGTTGCCTGCGGCTTTCTCCCTATTTACATTCATACCGACGCCTTCCATGAGTGAAACAAGTTGATGGGCCACATTGCGCAGCCACGTCACGCAGAAGTGGAGGCTTCGGCAGTGTCCAGCCGCTGTGTCTTCACCACGCTCCATGGACACAAGCAGCGATAGGTCATAGAGTCATAGACATAAATTAAAATGCTTCCCATTTGGATTTAAAGGCCTCGTCATATGGGGTTGAAATATAATCAAGAGTCTATATACATTATATAGGTTTGAGCAACAACGACATCACCGTCGCTCGCAGAGTAGGGGCCTTTGCTGTTTCTTGAGCCGGCAGCCGACAACTGCTCAGCAGGAGAACCAGAGTCCAGAGACGTAGCGATCAACAACGTATTGATTGGACACCGATGAGATGGAGCGGGGCGAGCTGCGCCATGGCGCCAAGCGTGGGGTTTTCTTCGATTTCGACTCGACGATGTGCCTCGGATGCCCAAGCGCAGACGGGCGCGAAAGGGTGTGACTCACGAGAGTGCCAGGGGTGTATTTTTGGACGCATGGTGGATGATTCGTTTGTTTCCCCACGCATCAATCAAATGAATCCCCACATTTGTAGGATTCGGTCTTCAACGAGGAATCAAGTTTTTTCCAAGTCTCAATGGATTCCGTCATCTACGACGATCGGGTGGCCCGGAAGGTTCAGGCGACCGGTGGGTTCCTTCGAGCATCGTGATCGTTTGAAGCTGCTGGAAGATGTTGGAAGACAATAAGAATATGTTCTTTATCAGGTGGGTGGGTGCTACAGGATCTATGGAAGGGTCATCTCTGAGCAGAAAGCTATCATCCTTCATGGGAGGAGCACCCCATACACAATCAGTGGACACAGCCAGTCGACACAGCCACCCATTAACTGGCCACTGGTGAACTGGTGAACTGCTCATCCATCCAATGAATCACAGGGACCTTAGTGATGTAATGTAGACGTATTTATAAAACCTAATTACATATTTGAATGCACGGACTCCTCTTCATATCGTGGGTTGAAATTAGTTGAAATACAAGAGTCATCAGCCAATGGATCCTTCCGCTTGGGTCTCTGAGTTGCCTCCTACGCCCAGGACGACTCCCATCAAGCTTCCCCGCTTCCACAGGCGCGGTCAGCATGGAGATGCGAGGTTCAAGTGGGTTTGTCATGCACTGGGGTTCTGCGTTTGGGGCAAAGCATCCTATGCCGCATTACAAGTGATAACTAGACGGCCGAGAAGCATCCGACGTATATAGTGATGTCAGCAATGGAAAAGAACATGGCAAAACACCTTCCAGCAAGAGAGATAGACAGGTCGGTCAACTGAACAAAGATGAACAGGTCGGTCAAGTGGACACATGGGTCGACGACTTCATCAATCAGGGGCTGGTCGATGCGCGTCTCAGCCTGCACGGCCCACGGCCACCCTCCAAGGCACGCGATCGCCGACAGCCCCGAGATCTTCGCGTCAATGACTCCGCAGGTCGCGATCTTCGGCGGGGCGTGACATCTGCGGGGCGGGGCGGCGGTCGGTGTCGAGTGAAGATGTGACCATGAGGGCCCGATGTGACGACAGAATTTTATCTGAACTAATGTAGACTGTTGATGAATAGAGCCCCCCACAGGAAGAGGATTTTCAATCCAAATGAACGGTTTCTATTAATCCAGAGTCTACATCAGATTGATGGGATATTTTTCCTGGGCAGGCGTGGCAGGATTTCTGTCGTTTAGACTCAGACTGTGGATCTTGAGGCGGTTCTGAAGCTCGTCTGGGTATTTGACATAGAGAAACAGATGAAACACTTTCGGAATATGAGATGTCCACCCCCAACATGCTCGTTGAATCGTTTGTATTCGCCCATGTGAGCACCCCAAATCTCGATTGCTTTCGCTCCATGTTCAGCCCCCCGCCCACCCGGTGGTTGACACCAATCACCGTCCCCCGCTGTTCTGCGGCGCGCGCGGTGGTCGCACCCAGGAGATCTTAGCAAACTTTGGTGGTCGCCCACGGCTTCAGCGCATGGGGAAGCTCCTGCAGGTTCCTCTGTCCTGCCCGGACGGTCACCTTAAAAGATGGGTCACCGTGAGATGGGTCGACAGATTTTGAAGATCTTTGCGGGATGTTTGCCAAGATTCGATGCAGTGGTGTGGGTTCATGCAGAAATCCAGATTTTTTTACACGACATACATAGCCGATAGCCGACCCATGATTCCAGGAAGAAATCCTCTGCTTTAAACAGATAGGACCCCAAGAAACAACACTATACTCCAACTCCAACCAGGTTTTCTTGCCAAGTGGTGCCAGAGCACTCTTTTCAACTGTGCAGCATTCTGTTCGCAGGCTGTTCCGGTGTAGCTGGCTGGGTGGTAGTTCTGGTCTAAGCATCACCAAACGCCACCAACCAGCACGTCTTCATTCTTTTGATCACAGGACCACAAGCGGAGGTTGCTGAACTTCAGGTTCAAGCTGAATGTCGACCTGGTGGGTGTAGGTCATTACACTCCCTGAAAGGATCATGGAAGTGGAAAATGGATGAACATGACTCCTGATTCTTAGATTTTCCACTTCCATGCTAGTGAGTGGACGAGTGAATTGAAGATCAACAGCTTATGACTCCCACTTTCACCAGATTGAATCTAGATTCACCCATTGTCACAGTGTGATGCAGTTTGTGGTTTCCTGAACGGAGGGCGTGAACATCGGGGCAACGCAACGGAGGGCACCTGGAAACCGGTTTGATACCGATCCTGAGGCTCTGACCGAAGCTGGCTGCGAATTGCTTCTTGACGCTGACTGCGCCGTACACGTCATTTCTGCGGATGATCCGGTCTCGCCGCGTGAGACCCTTTTTCTTAGGCGCTTAGGAACGGGGCTCGAGACGGTCTGGATGTGGCGAATGGCCCGATGCGTGCGTGCGAGGAACGGTCTG